AAAAATTTCTCTGTCTTTCATTTTTTTATTTCCTTTAATCTAAACATATAATTCGTAATTTTATCTTACTTTTCTTCTTTTTAATTACTACTTATTATATGAGATGCTTTCAACAGTTTTTTAAAAAAGTGAGAAAAACATTTCCCCGAACAAGCGCTGTTTTTTTTTTTTCTTTTCTTATTTTCGCCTTCACGAACAAGCCGTTCTTGAAAGTTGTAGGACTACTCAGTATTCATTGTTAAAAGAAGGATTGTCATGTTTCTATTTTCCAAGTCTTTTTCAATTACCTTTTTTTAAAATTTTTTTAAAAAAAATTTTGGTACATAGTCTCTCAATTATTGAGATGATAGTCTCTCAATTATTGAGGTGATAAGAGAATTGACAAGGTTGGTCCCGCAATTGACAGCCCTTTGAGAGACAATCTCCTTTAAATCTTTCTTTATTGATACGATCGCTGCTGGGGTGTAGAGACTGCCTTCCTTGGACCCCTAACAGTTTGGATTTGGGAAATAAAAACTTTAAAAATATATTAGATTATATAATAATGAAATGGTGTCTTAATATTAGGACTTACTTTTATTTAACGACATTTGTTTGCAACATGTTAATTAGTGTAATTGGCATTTGTCAGCATCTCTCTAATTTGAAAAATCTTATTATGAATTATACAAAATGAATAGACATTTCACTTTATGTATCTCATTTAGCATCTCCTATTTTTTATTTTCACTTAACTTTATTTAGAATTTCATTTACATATTTATGAAATTATTATTTATAGATTAATATATTCATAGAATTACTATATTCATGGAACTATTTAGTTTTGTTTAATATTTTAACTAAGTTTCCTTCATTAATCTAATTAAATTTATCCATTTAAGAGTATTAAATTATATATTATTCAAAAATTTTAATTATATGTAATTAATTTAAAATTTGATGTATATAAGTAGTACATTAATATATAAAATTTGTAATTAATATAAAATTGGTAAAAATTATACTAATACAACTGATTATAACTCAAAAAAATTTTAAAATTTTATCCCCTTAACCAAAATTTCTGGTACTGTCTTGCAATTTTAACTATGGTTCAAGGCTTGTCAATGTTTTCTATATGGCTTCAAGAGTTTTTTTTTTTTTTTTTTCTTTGGACAAGCGAAAATTTTTAAAGAAAAAAAAAATATTACAAATGTCTTAATAAAAATTTAAATCTTAACATGAATAAGATATTTAATACTCATCGTCAGTCCACCGCGGGTTGCTAGTGCGGCTACAAGAGGTTTGAGTGTGCAATCAATGTGAAAGACGAAGAGCTTGAGCTGTTTACCTTTGTTTCATTTCATATTGGTGAATGGGGATGACAATGGTGGGGACGTGGTTCTAAATTTGCGGAGTAGTGGACTAACTCACTTTGTGGAATAAATAAAGTCCCCTTATCTTTTAAAAGAATTAATTGATTTTGAGAGCACATTTAAGCCCGAAGAAAATGTTACGTAGTCTCAATTTCTATGTTATACACGGATACTTACTGATTAAATAATTGATTTTATTTTTTATTTAAAAATTTTTTATTTTATAATTTAGACTATATTAAATTATAAAATAAAAGATATTAAATGAGGAAAAGATAATTCAAATTATATAATATTTTTTTACTTTATTTAAACTAAAAGAGGAAGGCAAAATGCAGAATTTATGACATTCATTAGTAACTAAGTATTTATTTATAAATTAAATTTAGGATTTAAATCTTAATATTAACTCTTACTAAAAAATTAATTTTTCAATGCAAGTCAAAGTGTTATTATTAAAAACACTTAATAATATGTTTGAATTGAGAAAAATAAAAAAATATATAAAAAGACAAAATTTTTAATTAAGTAAATTATAATATTTTTAAATAATATAATTTAATTAATTAAAATTTTTTCTCTCTCTTCTCTTTTCCTCAATTAAATGGAATGGTTTTCTTGATATTAAATTTTTTTATTTAATAAATTTTATTTTATAATTTAATAAATATAAAATTTTAAATAAAACCTTTAAAAATATACTAGACTATATAATAATGAAATGATGTTTTAATATTAGGATTCTCTTTTATCTAATTACATTTGTTTGCAACATGTTAATTAGTGTTATTGGCATTTGCCGAGCGTCTCTCTAATTTGACAAATCTTATTATGAATTATACAAAATGAATAGACATTTCACTTTATATATCTTATTTAGTATCTCCTATCTTCTATATTCACTTAATTTCATTAATCATATTTATGGAACCACCACATTTATAAATTTGTATATTCATAAAACTAGTATATTTATGGAATTATCTAGTTTTGTTCAATATTTTAATTAAGTTCTCTTCATAAATCTACTTATATTCATCCTTCGAATTTATATAATATTCATTCTTCCTTAGCCTTTATATAAGCTTGTATTGTATAAAGAAGATACTTTAACTGAAAGTGAAGAGTGAATGAAAGAATAAAAAGCATATTTTGTTCTCTCTTCTTGTCTCATTCTCTTATCTTATTTTTACACATATTCTTACTTTATCATAATCAATAATTACTTATTTTATAACAGAAAATTGTTTATTTTAAAAATAAATTCTTTAATCATAAATTTAAAATTTTATTAAATAAAAATTATAAATTATCATTTATAATAATTTTTATATAAAATTTTAAAAAATTCAAATATATAATTTTCTCAAAGTTACTTAAATGTTACTTTAAAAAATTCATTTTTAAATTTCTCTCCACCATTTTAGGTATATAAATAAAAGTTTACTTCTACAAATTGTTTTTTAAAATTTACCAATCACCTTCAATATCCATAGATGCCTCTTATTGACTTCTTCATTGACTTGCCTGCATTTGGAAGTTGTCTCTACTCCTTAGCTACCTCAATTATAAGAAAGGGCTAGGTTTTCACCATTTATAATTTCTTTTTCTGTCAAGCACGCCGGTCTGCCATCCACTTCTTCAATCTTGATATCCTCTTATGTTCTTTGTTGAGGGCTCACATGTGCGTTTACATATATTCTACGTAAGTATAGCATACACTAAACATATCTTGCGCTCAAAAGAAGGGGTCATCAGCCAAATTATTCTTGCTAAAGTTCATCTGTGTTTAACAGCTAGTGGCATGAGTTTTTGAACATCATCTGACGAAGTTTGTAAGTATGGTTAATTACATAGTTTTGGTCCTATTACTAGAGCACCTTTTTAATTTATTTCTAAACTTCATATGGTACATCAAAAACTATACTTGGTGAAGCTTCAGTTTGGAACAATACCTGGTGAAGCTTCAGTTTGAAGCGACGAGTGGTGCTTTTTTGTCTGTCTGTGTGGAACACATGGTATGAAGGTGAGAGGCTTCTCTTCTCCTCGCATGGCTGATTTTTCTTTCCTATTATTGCTTATTAGTTGATTTATGGTTTTTATTTTTATAAATGTTACAATTTTAAATAAAAAAATTATTTAATGTTTTATTTTTCAATATAACATTATAACTCTTAAATCCCTTCTCTCCTCTCTTCTTCTATCATCTGGATAAGTTAAAATAATTAAAGGAATTAAAAGCAAAAAAATAAAGTAAAGGGCTTTTGTCTTCCTTCCATTCTCTAATGTTTTGGTAATGAAATCAAGTAATTATCTCTTCTCCGCTCAAATCAAATATACCTTTAGTTGTTAACGTTAAAATTTGTCTTAAATGAAATTTAATTGCATATCTTTCGAATGTTTGAGAACTATAGTGTAATAAAATTGTTTAAAATAGGGACTGAATTGATTAAATCTAAAGTTTAAGGTTCAAAGAGCACAATAATTCAAAGTTAAGGGACAAGCTGTGTCATTTTACCATTAAAATTTGGAGAATTCTAACGGGTCAATAAACGGCGTTACGATTTCCCATCAATGGAGGGATGCGGCTTGGTACTTTCTCCGAAGTTGACGGATATTTATGACTTGTTTTAAACTAAAAGAATGATAATAACTTTTTCTTTATAAAGTTGATGAATTTTTAGTGATATTAAGTTAAAAATAAATGAGAAATTTTTTCATGTTTAAAGTGTTGGGTAGTGATATAAAAATAATTTTTTATATAATTTTTGTATTAAAATTTTTTATATCATTAAATGAATATTTACATTTAATAATATGAACCTTAAATAAATAAAAAAAAGTCAATTATTTAAATAATATATAAAATTAAAGATGATAAAAAAATTATTTTTAATCATTTTCTTAAAGTGTTTATGTAGGTCCATTAATTATTACATCAGCAACTCCCGTTAGCATTTAACGTCCCATTCTCACGGTAGGCCTGTATGTGAACAATTTAAGAAAGGTTGAGGATGGGGAGGAAGGCTAGCTTTAAATAAAGGTTAAGGATGAAGGTGTCCCATATCAGAAAGACTAGGGATGGAAAAGGAAATTTACCCAATAGCTAATTTTAGGCTCAATGTCAATTTTAATCCCTCAGCATTAAAATTTTACAATTTTTTCGTCCTTCAACTATTTCCTACACTTTTTTAATTTCTCAATTCTAAAATGTAATTTTAGTCCCTTTGTAAGTTAACTATTGATAACTAAAGCCGCGTGGTCTTTTTATTTGTTTTTATAACATGAGTAAAAAAATTAATAGAAGATGCTTACTTGAACTAAAATTCATGCCAACTACTTAAAAAGATAGGTTAAAAATGAGATCCACTCAACGACATTCAAAATTAATGTTTATTTATCTTAATAAAATGATTTAAAGATAACTTCTTTTTTTTTTTGTCTAACTTTGTCTATCGATTAAATAATTAATTTTTTATTATTCATTTTATAATATTAAATACATTTACTTATATAGAAATATAGTAAAAATATTATCCCTTCTTTTATTTAAATTAAAATATAAAAGTAGGTCCCATTCTCAAGTACCTTATTTGATTAAAATTAAGAAAAATTATTGGACCCCACCTTCAATATAACTTTTGCCCTCAAGTGAAATTATAGTCTTGCCCCCATCATTTCTTCCTTCCCAGATGGAAGGTTCCTGGGAGGTTGAATCCAACAAGCAACCAAATTCAAAACCATAATCAATTGTCATTTAAACCTACATTCTAATTGTGAATCAGAACTGAAGAGGAAGGAAACAAAAATCTAAATTAATTCTTAAAGTCCATGGATTTAACAACCTTAAACAAACTCAAATGTGAACTCAAAAAATCCAGGTTTGTAAATCCCTGAAATGAATCTAAAGATTAGCCGGTAACTTCAAAGGAAATGGAGGAGGGGAGGGAGAGAAGGATAGGAGAAGAGTTGGAACAAAGTTCAGATAGGCTACATGCGAACTCAAATCTGGGTTCATCTAGGTTCCACACGAACCTAGATCCAAGTGGGTTCATAAATCCAAATCTGTTAGGTTTAATGAAAGGGGATGGACGATCAGAGAAGGAAGAAGGGAGGGGTAAGAAGAACAAATTTGCAAGAACCCAGAAATCTAGGTTTTAAAACACATAAATCTAGGTTTGTACGAGCCTAGATCTGGGAAGAATGAGGAAAAGAAGGGAGAAAAGGGAAAGAAAAAAGAGAAAGAGAAAGAGATCGGAGAAGATTGAAGGGAGAAAGTGCGGGAGAAAAGAGACGGAGGGGTAGGAAGAGCTGATTGATGGAGTTGGAGAACATGAATGGAGAAAGAGAATTGAATAGGGGGAAGAAGATGAAGATGATAGGGGTATAAGTGTAATTTTCTAAATATTTTTAATATTAAATAATTGTAATGAGTTTTCAAATCTGACATGCCTTTTTTTCATCCATGTAAGATTGTATGACGTGTTACTACGTATCATAAAAAAATGGCATCTTGAATGGAATATTTCCACTTAACTAATGAAAAAAACTAAAATTATGTAATTTTTAAGGTTGAGGAATAAAAAAATACACAAAATAATTGAAAAACGAAAAATGTGTAAAATTTTAAATTTGGGGACCATGATATTTAACTTTAATTTTATAAGGTTTATTTATCCTATATCTTGTGAGTTTAGCATAAAAAATTATTATTAAGTAATAATTGTGACTTTTTTTCTTGAAGAGAGAAAAACTTTACATTAAAAATATAAATTTTAATTTTTAATTTAAAATTAACTAATAAAAAATTGACATGTGGTATTTTTTTATTAAAATAAAAGTTAACCTCATCTTTTTTAAGACAAAAAGTAACAATTATTACACAATTAATACTCATTAGTCATTACCGTATGTTCTAAATGTACTGCAAGATAGATAAAGCCAATTTTATATAGTGTAGACCACACAAAGCATTTTTTATTCACTAATTTTAAAATTTTAAATTAAAATAAAGGGTAAATTTTATTTATCTCATATAATTTGGAGCAGATGTATTAAATCTCAAAATAACAAAAATGTGCATTTTACCTCATGTGATTTGAAAATGTGCACTTAACCCTTAAATCATGAAAATATACTTTTTAACCTCTATGTGATTTAGAAAACATCCATTTAACCTCTATTTGTTTTTGAAATTGACATTTAATATTTATAAACTTAGAAGGTCAAGCACACATTTTTCAAATTAGAAGATGGTCAAGAGTGCGTTTACATGATTTAGGAAATTAAGTGCAGACCTTTTTCATTTTAAGGTTAAGTGCACCTGCTCCAAAACATGTGGCGATCAGTGCACTTTCCCCTTAATGAAATGTAGTATTTCTATTTTGAAATTGGAGAACTCTCTCTAAATATATATTTGGATAAAATGTAAAAATTTTATTTATCCATAAACTGTATGTACAATTATGCAGTAAACTACTACAAAGAATACTGTCAGTGTTTAACAATTCCCTCAAATTCCCATTGTGAAGCAACAACCAATGATAAAGAGGGAGTTTGGTCAAAACAAGCCCAGGATCTTGTCTCTTACATTAGCTCTTAAATCTTCACCCACGGTCATCTCAAACTTAAAAAAGTTGCTGACGAATCCTCCTGTTGCTGTCCATCAAACGTGGTAAACAGCAACATTCCAAGCCTTTTTTTCTCTTTTATCTTAGGTTGCACAAATTTCAAGCCATTTTTATCAAATTGACATGTAATGATTTCTTTCTCAACGTCTTTCCCAGCCATCTCGTTAACCCTTGCCATGAATTTACAAATGGTATTCCTACTTTACTGTTGATATCTTGTCAGATTTTACTAGTGTAACAACGTTTGAAAAAGAGGTGCTCACTTGTCTCAGGCATCCTACTGCAAAGGACAACATTTGTATACCATGAACTCAACAAATCTCGCACTCAAAAGAAGAGGTCACCAACCCCATCATTCTTGCTAGAGTTTTTCTGTGTTTGACAGCGCTAGTGGCGCGCTGAGTTCCTGAGCATCATATATTTGAGGAAGTTTGTAAGTATGGTTAGTTACACAGTTTTAGTCCTATCACTGGAGCACCTTTTTAATTTATTTCTGAACTTCATATGGTACATAAAAATTCATACTTGGTAGGGCGAAGCTCCGGATTTGAGAAGGCAATTGGTGCTTTTTTGTCAATCTGTGTGAGAGACATAGTATGAAGGTGAGAGGCTTTTCTTCCCCTCGAGCTGCTGCTCTTTCTTTCCTTTCAAATTCATGTTTAACCTCTATGTGGTTTAGAGAACATCCATTTAACCTCTAATTTAAAAAAAAAAAAAAAAAATTTCTGAGATTTCACTTTTAATATTAACAAACTTAACAGGTCAATCGTATATTTGAAGATAGTCAAGACTCAAAAGCACATTTGCATGGTTTAGGAAGTAAGGCACTGATTTTTGTCATTTTGTGGTCAAATGCACCCACTCCCAACCACGTGAGAATAAGTGCAGTTTCCCTTAATTAAATGAAATATTTTTGTTTTGAAATTGGAAAACTCCTCCTCCAAATATATATTGTTTTCAATTTACTTTAAAGTTTATAGTTTTATAATTTAAATTATGTCAGATTATAAATCAAGACATTTAGATAAGAAGAGCGCGTTCCCATCTAGTGGCTAGTTTTGGGCAGCCTTAAAACATTTCTGCTTCCTTTCTCTAAATAAGTACTTACGTTAATTTTATTCACGGTGGAATATTTCGTAGGCTAATATGGAAATAGTTACTTCTCCAAGCACAAATATTGTTCCCGAAGTTCTTAACGAAGATAATTACGAAAGATGGAGCATTTTAATGCAACAATATTTAGAGCTTCAAGATCTTTGGAAGGTTGTTCAATTACACAGGATGCCTCCAGGAGGAAATAAGGAGGAGTGGAGTAAAAAGAAGGCTTTAGCTCTATATGCCATTAGGATTTCTTGTGGAACAGAAGTATTTGATCAAATAAAGGAGATACCTGACGCCAAAAGAGCTTGGGATGAGTTGGCGGATAAGCTGAAGCCCCGGCCAACCGCTGAAGTTGGCACTCATGATAATTTTAACTCCGGCCAAGAAAGCGAAGCAGGTTTCGTTTCTTTTCTTTTCTTTTTTCTTTTTTTTTTTTTCAATTCTCCTTAATATTCCATCTCACTGTTTGAACTATTTTTTCCGCATTGGCCATTGATGAGGTTTAGCAATCAAGTTAACTATATATATATAATTCTATTTTAATTTTACAAAAATGTTTTTCTAATTTGTTATTCACTTAAAAATATTAATTTAGAGTTTAAAAAGACGAAAATATCCTTTAATCAAGAGTGCATTAAGGCTTTTGTCTTTTTATTCACATTTTGTACGTATGATTTTAAGTGCAATTTGCCTAAAAAGACCTTTACCTTAATTTTGAAGAAAAGCAATATCTTGAAAAGATTAAAATACTAATTTGATCTCTCAACTTTTAAATTTATACTAAAATTATTCTTTAACTTAAAAAAATATTAAATTTTTTCTTAAACTTTAATTTTTGGTATTAAAATAGTTCTTCTATTAACAAAAGTGTAATGTAATTTGTTATTTTATTATAAAATCAATTCTTTTTCAAAATACTAATGACATATAAAATTAAATAGTTATATTTTACTATCATGATATATTTTTATTTACATATTAAATTGATATATTATCAAAGTTGAAAAACCAAATTGATTAAGTTGGTACTTGTCTTTAAAGTTTTGACTGAAATTGGTATTATTTTCAAAGTTTGAAGACAACTATTTTAGTATTAAAACTCAAAGTTTAGGGATAATTCTAATATTTTTAAATTAGGGGAAATTTTGACAAAAATCTGAAAGTTGAGGGACCAAATTGACATTTTAACATTTTGAAAACAAGACTGCACCAAACCGATTGGTTGGATCAGCCTGAGCGACTATTGGTAACCAATAACCGCCCTTAGTATATATATAGTTCGTCTTAGGGTACCAAACCCGTTGTAGTCAATAATTGGTCAAAACCGGTAAAATCCAAATCGGCTCAGCTTTTCTTGGTTTTTATATATTTTTTTCTTTTTTGAATTTTTGTTTTTTTTTTATATTTATTATTTTTAGATAATAAAATAATTAAATTATAAATCAAATTAAATTTTAAAGTCAAATTACTATGTATGGATGAAAATTTGAAATCAATTTAAAAGTAACATGAATCAATTTTGAAAATAAAATCAATTTGAAATTGAATTATTATTTCATGATAGGGAATGAAATTAATTTGAAATCAAATTAAATCAATTTTGAGAATAAAATTTTTGTAAATTGACTATTTTAATAAATGAAATGAATGAATCATGAAATTAAAACTAATCTAAATTAATTTTGAAAATAAAACTAATAAAATAAAAAATTAATTTTGTAATTAATACAACATTAATGTTTTAGTCTTTTATATGGATGAAAAATTAAAAATATATTAGGCATTCTAATAAATTTAAGCATTTGAAATTAATCAATTTTGGGAATGTAATAAATTTTGAACATAAAATTAATTTGAAACTAATGGCTACTTTAATATATTAATTATTATAAAAATGATCTCAATCAATTTTAAAAATAAAATAAATTAAGGCAAGATCATTCTATAATTAATAAAAATTAATTTAATATTATTTTATCTAGTCAACTGGTTGGACAGTTTGGTTTTATTGATCCAACTGGTTGAGTCCAAACCAGTGGCCAAAACGGTTTGCCACAGGTCCTTTTCTTAAAACACTGGGTAGCATTCTAGAGCTTAGTTTTTGATGTTTGTTGAAGTCGTATGTGGCATGTGTGGCATTGAGATCTTTTATTGGCAGTCTAGGTTTTGATTGTAAGAGAGCTAAAAAGAAGGCTTAAGTATTGGAAAAGAACCCTAGCTTTTACTAAATTCTCAATTGAGGTTCTTAACATTTATTGCACTCAATTAAGGTCTTGAACTCACACAAACTCTCAAATTAGGACCCAATTGGATGGAATCTTAACATCCATCAATTCTCACTTGACTGTCTGTTGCGGTCTGTTACTCCCTCAATATGTGGCATGCCAATTGGACCCATAAAGTTGACTATAAAAAATATTTTCCAACATGGCATATTGGGCGGAGCAGTTTCCCTCCACATAATAGGTGGGTCCCACAAGACTTCTTTTCGCACTCTCCTTTTTCATCTTTGACTATTCAACACCTTTTTAATATAATATAAAAACCCTAAAACCTTTGTTTGCAAGTGTGTTAATGAAAAAGTACTTTTGCGGACTTCAATAGTCAATTTGAGGTTTTTATTGTTTGGTGTATTCTTTTAAACAAGGTTAAATGTTAAATTTAGTCCCTTAACTTTACGAATTGTACATTTTTGATCCCTCAACAAAATTTTGCACTTTTTTGATCTCTCAACTATACAAAATGCACTCCGTTAGTTCTTCTGTTACTTTGGACAGTTAACTTTGCCTATGTGGTATTTTTTATATTTTTTTGATGATGTGGAGAGCAAATAGGTTCCATTGAACCCAGCTTGGTTCATTGGAATCCAGTTGCCCAAAAATCATTCACAATAACCTACAATTTGGATAATCTGTTGGCAAACAATCATATAACAAAAAAAAAAAAACCAGTTGCCCAAAAATCCCTCGCAACAACCTGCAATTTGGATAATTTATTGGCAAACAATCATATACCAAAAAAAAAAAAAAAACCAGTTGCCCAAAAATCCCTCACAACAACCTACAATTTGGATAATCTTTTGGCAAACAATCGTATAAACAAAAAAAAAAAAATTGGAGTTGGGTTCGGTGGAACCTAGGCAGGGTTCCGTCGAACCCAACAAACTGGGTTTGATGACCTGAGGAAGAAGAGGAAGAAAGAAGAGAAAGGAAGAAAAAGAAAAAAAAGAAAGGAAGAAGATGGATCGAATTTTTTTATTTTTTTTTTTTAAAATATAAATAGTAATCATATGAGTTGGCATGAGTTGTCATGAAAAAAAATTCCACATCAACATGTTTTCAATTTGTTTTTGCCACGCCATCAACAAAACTATAAAAAATGCCGCATGAGCGAGTTAACGATTTAAATTAACAGAAGGACTAACGGAGTACATTTCGTATAGTTGAAGGATCAAAAAATACAAAAATTTGTTGAGGGACCAAATTTAGCATTGAACCTTTAAACAACTTTTTTTCATGTTTATATGTAGATTCAACCGTATATAGTTACGATCACGTGGTTTTATTTGGGTTATTGAATTATTTTAATATTTTTCATGATTTTTGAATTTATTTTCTAATTTAAACTTTTTTGTCTCGATTACACATAATTTCTTTATTTTTGTTTTGTTAATTTATTTAAATTATTATCTTTTTTTATTCTTTATCACTTATTCTCTGTTGTATTTCATTGGATTTGTTATTTATGTATGCGTTTTCCATCGACTTTGTTTTAGGCACTTTTGGGTTATTTTTTATTTGGTTTGGAGTTTGTTCTGTATAGACAAAGCAAACTTGGTTTATGCAGTTTCAGTATTTCTGGACTTTATTTTAGACACTTTTGGATTGTCTTTTGTCTGGTTTGGAGTTTGTCTTGTATAGACAAAGCAAACTTGGTTTTATGTAGTTTCAATATGGTTTAAGTGGAAATTAAAGTGTTATATGTGCATTTTAGTTGAGTTTTCCTATATAAAATATGATAAAGTTTGGGTGTGCCTAGCCTGGAGTTTTCCAGTATGTCTTTTTTTTTTTTTTTCTGTATGAAGTTGCAGTTTTAGAATTTAAGTATATTAAAGGTTTTTTTCCCCCTGTTTTCCTTTGTCATTTTGGTAGAGTTTCCCTTGCCTTTGTCTATTTCCCCCTGTTTTCCAATAATATGTTCTGTATCAAGATGACAATAGATATAATTTTCATTGCTAGCATTGAATGGATTACAATCAAATGGCCATTTCCATAATGGCTAATATACAAACACATAATCACCATTTACCTAAAACAATCATGACCATTAACCTAATAAGAATTTCAAACATATCACTTATACCAAATCAAAAAAACAATTAGCACTAGACAACACTAAATTGTAGAAGAAAAATCTGCAACAATTAGAGGAAAAGAAGAACAATTTTTTGTTTCCTTTCTTTGCAGCAATCAAACCTAAACTAGCATTACTATAAAGATTAAATTCAAAGTGATGGAGACGGGATCGGTTGTGGGTGCTTCTATGGTCATCGGGTGGGCTTCTGTTAGTGGTAGAGAGACGCTAAGATGAAAACACGAGATTCAACCCTAGTTTCTTCACAACCAATTTCTCGAATATCAATTCAGAAATGGCTGTTAGGTTTTCCCTTTCGGACATGCCCAATCTGCATCAACATTGCTCTCCACCTCTGCCTCCTTTACCGGAACCATGATGGTCTTCCACTCCATGACCAGCAACCTCATTCCTGAGCCACTCAAATCTCACCTTTACTCTTTATTTCACTCTCTCTTCACTCCTCTCTCTTCCAACCTCATTCTTGACATCAACGAATTGCCGGCATGTCGAGGAACTATTCTATGACGCCACCAAACTCCATCTCGCCACCAAGAACAGCCCCAAAACAGAGCGGCTCAGGCTCAGTAAAACCCAGAGCAAAAATGAAGAAGTCGTCCATAATTTTGAGGGAATTCAGTTGAAATGGAAGTATATCTGCATAGAGCCTTAGAAGATCTTGCAAGGAGAGAGGCAGGCTGTTGGGTGGAGAAGAAGATCTTGCAGGAAGAGAGGTAGATTCAAAATTCTAGGGATTTCACCCCCAAATCGTGAAATAGGAGAGAAGAAGAGAGATGGGAGAAAAAGGAGCCATGAGATCACACATGCCATGTAGGAATATAATTTTTTTTACAATCAGCCTTATGGGTATAGTTGGCATGCCACGTATTGACGGCGTAACAAACCGCAACGGACAATCAAGTGAGAATTGATGAATGTTAAGATTCCATCCAATTGGGTCCTAATTTGAGAGTTTATGTGAGTTCAAGACCTTAATTGAGTGCAATAAATGTTAAGGACCTCAATTGAGAATTTAGTAAAAGTTAGGGTCCTTTTCCCATACTTAAGCCTAAAAAGAAAGGTCAACTAATCTTTTTTTTTTTTTTTCCTTTAAAATGCATTTTGAAGAAGTAGGTTGCTATGACTTCAAATTTTTAATACAAACGATAATTTCTTATGACCATTTGTGGCAGAGCGTCAAAAGAATTTGCGGAAGTTAGTTTGCTATGAGCCCATTTCCGACGTAAAGCAGTTCTTATGTGACTATGCGGATGCAAATTCGTTACACTTTGCTCTTAAGCTTGCAATTACTTGTGGCCGCAAGAACATGGCACACTACCTTTATAAGGAGATTCCACTTGAGTTTCTACAGGGAGACTCTGGCTTCTTCCTCCTAGAGCACTGTATAACCAGGAGAATGTTTGGTAATGAGAGTTCTACAATTCTTCTTCTCTTTAAATGCTATATACGGCCTTTGCTTAGAATAATAGATATTTTCTAATTTTATTTTCAGATTAAGGATATTAAAATAATTTATATTTTTACTTATATTACTTTAAAAAAATAAAAATAAAGAGCGTTTTATGATATAAAATCAAGATACAATAATAAGATTAAAGTTAAATGTCAATTTTAGTCCATAAACTTTCATTTTTAACAATTTTAGTCTTTGAATTGTTTTTTGCACTTTTTCCCCCCTCTACTATGAAAAGTGCACTTTTTTTCACTTTTTTTCGTCATTGCATCAATTTTATCTGTTAAGGATGACTAGCTAGTGTTTTCATTATTTTCTTTAATGAGCTAAATATGCATAAAACAAAAGTTTAGGGCCAAAAGATGCCAACTGTACAAATTTAATGAATAAAACTGATTTAAGGACTAAGAAAGTTTGGTTTTCCTATTTAAGATACAAAAAAAGTGCAAAAAATAATTTAGGGACTAAAATTATTCAAAATTAAAAGTTTAAGAATTAACTTTGACATTGAACCT